CGGGTCCCGACGTAAGGTATAAACTAGATTCGTTTCTTAGGGTTTTGATGTTCTTTATGAAACTAAGATCTCTTTCTTCTGGGCTTTCTCGCTCTGATGGGCTTTTAGGGCTGCCTTTCTCAATTTTATGTAATGTCATAGCGGTGAGGCCCATCAAGGTGAAATGGTCCATACCAACTATTCCCCTGTACTAAACAAATTGAATTTCAAATCCAGAGTCATAAAGTCCCGCCTTTTTCGAATTGACCACGTGTCTCTTTTCTAGAGGCTGCTCAAGGCAGCGTGTGTAAGTTAATGCCTGACTGCTCGTATATCGAGCATATCATTTATTGAATCATGCGGGAGGCATGTTTTACGATAATATATGTACTTTCATTGATCTCATCCGTCCATTTAAGTGGCAATATCTTTTGTCGTTTCCCATTCCGTCCTTATAAATACTTTCCCCCTACCCCATACTATTTATCATCTTTTACTTTTATTTTCCCTTTATTATCTGCGTATTATTTTTTCCAGCAAAGTTGTTTTCACGCGTCTCATTTTTTCCCTAGCGAATCATCTCTGGTTTCCCTACCTCTTTTCTTTCTTTACTATTTCATTTTCTAGTTCTCATGTCTTTTCGCTCATCTAAGTTAGCCGACCAAGTTGCTCATCTTCGTTGTTTAGACGATGATGACGATGGCTTTGACACCTTGGTGTCTCTTCCTAGAGTAGTCCCTCCTATCCCCTCAACCAGTATAGGTTCTCGTGGTTCTTCTGCATAAATTCTCACGATCTCCGCGTGGAAAGATCCAATGACTTTCTTTGAGGAAATTCTCCAAATCTCCCCGAGGGGAGTTCTCAAGTTCTAGCCGAGGGAAGGAACCTGAGGGGATCACTGGGGGCCTAGTACCTTAACCAATATTGACCTCTTTAGTTTAATCAGGGATGTAGTTCTCTCCTCGGATACCGAGTTAGTCCTTCCCTTGACCTCTGATCGTCCCCACATGCCCCTTCCGGGTTATAGTACATGATTTTCTTAATAGTTTTATTATGGCTTTTCATTTCTAGTCTCCCCTTACTTTACTGAGATAGCCCAAATTTACGAGGTGTCTAGAAACCATATTTATCCTAATGATGACTGATTTTCGAATGCTTTGTGCCTGGTCCGGGTTCATTCATTCTCCAACAGGTTTGAGGAGTGTTATATTCCTACAAAAGTTAAGCCCATACCACGTCTCCATCTCTTTCTCGTCCTCATTTCAAGATCATAAATCCTCCGAACAAAACGGATTGGTGGCAAGGTCAATATTTTTTCGTGAAAAGTCCCTGTGATACAAGATATCTTCACCCTTGGATTGTTACCTTACCCGAGAAGATCAGGAGAGGTAAATCTCTTCATGTTGATGACTGGCTGTTACGACTAATAACTCACTTCCAGCCGAGTTTTGGCTTGCTCAAGCGACTCATTAAATACCCTCTGTTATTGCGTCATTTTTATTTCCACAATAATATGATCCAACCCATGTTGCAAGTTGCACTGGGTAGGCTTCCTGACATATGTATATATGGAATTTTTAGTTCCTTATCACTTTCGATATTGTATTTTCATATTGCCTCTTTTCTCATTTATTGCGGATTTAAGGATGAAAGGCATGTACAGAGTGAAGAAAGCAGCTACTCGGCCAATGAAAACAGAGCCTGAATTATATGGTTCCGATTTCCTGCGTCCCTTGGCGGTCAATCCTGGGAATAGGATCTCAGAAGACCAAGGTCCAAAATCCAAAATCACCAGGAAGAAACCGCCTGGCCCAATCCGCTTCCGAGGTAGAATCAGGCTTTGCGAGCCTGGTTCTGAGTCGGCTACTCTTTTCGTGCCTGGGCCGACAATTAGCCCACTCGACTTACTTCGGCTAGTGAAAATGAACCTCCTCGATCTGAGGCGAGTAAAAAAAAAAGGCAGCCGGAAACCCTCTTGGCCCCATCGGGAACATCCTCTTCCAAACATTACCCTTAATCGTTGTCGAAAATTCGAGAAACGTTAGAGGCTTGACGGGCTGCCGCATTGCCACTAGATGTGGAATACTTTCGGCAAATAGATGATGATGCTCGCCATGAGTTGTTACTTAATAATATAACTCATGTTTGGTCGTTGTACTATTTTTCCTTTTATTGAGGAAGATTACCCCTCATTTTTGATATTTTATGCACCTATATTTTTATGCTCTATTTATAGAAATTTTCTATTGTCTTCCTGGTCCCACTCGGTCGGGGCGGAGTTCTTTGGGAGGCCTATGACACTAAGAAAGATGAAGTAATCATCCAACTCTAAAAAGAGGTTCAGGCACTAAAAGAGAGTTTGGCCTTAGGTGATCCTCGATAAATGCTCTCTTCGAGGACGTGATGAGAGAACATGAGGAAGAGGGGGTTCTTAAGGCGGAGAAAGAGTCTCTGGAAGTATGGAATGCCGAGCTAGAGAAAAAAATCAGGGAAATCAGCCACGAGCTGTTTCAGGCTGGGTTGGAGGCGTCCGTCAATTTTAATGAGGGAATCTGAGAGGGCTATCGATTATTTTCCCATTCTTCTAAAGGTGAGCAACTTATGCAAGAATTTGTGTGGAGGTTTTTTGTCCAACTGTGGAAGTCAACAACTTTCATCCGAAAGGCGTCTGAATCGGCTCGCTTTTTCTTTACGTCAGCTGTTGAGTCTGCCCACAATCGTATAAACAAAGCACGAATCCAGTTTTCGCTGGACGTGGAAGAGCTTAGCGAAGATTTGACCAAGGATGTGATCCCGGGATTCGAAGATGATGTCAAGGACGACCCCGAGTTGGAAATGTGGAGGGCCGTTTATCAAAATTTGTTGCATGTCCTTATATCAAGGTCGACTTCGTTGGTGTCATCACCGATTACGTTGTGATGTTGAGCCTCAAAGGGTTATGGTTGAGCTCGGAGAAGCTGCTCTCGAGTCAACTGATCACTCTGACGGACTGGCGATCTATACCATTCTTGAGGTGGAAACTTTGAATGCCCTTACTTTGGACAATATGTAACTGCGTGTTTCTTCTCGTTTTAGCGACAAAAACAAAATTCTTGTTTTCCTATTTTCCCATTTCTTTCAAGGAATGTTTTAAAGACTATTTCGTAATGTATTCTTTTTTCGCACTTATCATAAGTTTGTTTTGTACTTCTTTCATATGAATTTTCTTTTACCAACTTATCTTTTATCGTGCAGCTCACGCGATGTCTTCGGGCGACGCGTACGAGCGCGTGTGGCAGCGGCTCGGCGGCGGGGTCGCGGCGATCTAACTCCTTCGTCTTCCTCCTCTCGGATTTCACCTTGTATACCGAATTCTACAATCACGTGGCACCAGCCACGGAAAAGTTAGAACAAATGGAATAAAAACGACAATTAAATAGGCGACCGATTAATGGTAGCGGCGCGTGGGGCCGACGACCGGCGATAGTAACGACGGATCGGCGGTGGAGCAGCGGCCTTGAGTGAGGAGAGCGGCTAGGGTTTCTTGTCTTATGTACAAGACCTATAAATCTTGTATTTATAGTGTCTTGTGCACAAACCCTAAAAGGCTTAAGTTGGACCAGGCCCAGCAGCTTAAGCTCGTTTGTTTTTCTCTGCTCGTTTCTCCAAACCAATGATCGGAAATTTATAACAATTATATTTTCAGAATCATTGAAACTTCCTCGTCGATACGAGTGCCAAAACTCGATTTCCAATTTCTAAAAATGGAAAACCTAATTTTGTAAACATACCAAATCGGGAAACTTCCCAATTTAGAAAGTTCACTAAGATCATCGCCTAGTTCTTTCATATTCCTATTATCATTCATAATTCACAATTATGAATCTTGAAATCAATCGTATTGACTTCCAATTATGTAAAGACCAAACTTTTTAATATTTGACCATTTATTCAATAAATTCAAGTATACAAGCAGTGTGACCATTGATGGTTCAGGTGTAAGCTAGCCGTCGCCCCACAACTCATTATGGTTTAAACTCGTCCCCAGAGTTATATTTAAAATTCTATTTTATCGCTAATTTGAATATTGGAAAAATACCATAACCTCCCATGATGTTAAATAATAATCACCCATACCCCATTATTTTTGAAAAATATTATCCATTACTTCTTTAAGGTTTCATTTTTGTAAAAATGCAACTTAAACCAAATTAAGTAATTTCTCACATCAACACGCACATGGGCGCAACGAAAAGGTTAAGAGAATTTATTGATTGAGAAATATATAATCATCGATGCAAACATATGAAATGATGAGGAGAAAACAAACCACATCGTTTTTCACACAAATATTTTGTTTTAAGAAAAACAAAATTCAACTATCAATATGAATTTCTCGTTAGTAATGGAACTTGTCGAGAGCATAAACTATAATGACGAGGTGAGAAATATGACAATGAGTGAAGGTTGAAGAAAGGAGGTGAATGCCATAATATGTGATAAAAAATATATATGTGTTACTAATGTTTGTTTTTCAAACATTAGAGGCTTATGTGTAATTAAATATACCGTGAAATTAGCTTAATGTTTTAAGTGATAGATGATGAGTTTTCAATAAAATGATTACTAGAAGGGTTTGAATGTTAGATCAAACTAAATCTCAAGAGAGATTTGTGTATTTTTTCGAATCTAAGGGATCTACGTGTAATGAGACAAAACTTCAAAGAAGTATGTATAATTTATCTAGGTATTTTGGAGGACCATAATTACAATTTTCTCATTTATTGTGATGCTCAGTTGTATATATAACTCCTACCAGCACTAACTCCATTACAACTCAAAACCATTACATTATTTGTCCAATATTTTTTCTCTCTCTTCTCCTTAAAACCTTCTCTCTCCTCTCTTTAAAATCTTTTCTCTTGTTTACATCGTTAACCATGTCTCCCTACACACATATCCTCCATCTTGTAACAATTCTTTTTCTACTTCTCATGAATGGAAACAATGAAATAATCATTTGCTACAGCAACAAAGTCATCATGACGGCCCCTTCTATCATCATTACAGTCGATAAAAATCCAGGATCCGGAAATTTTACATCAATTCAAGGTGCAATTGACTCTCTCCCTTTGGTGAACCAAGAAAGAGTTTTGATCGATGTTCATGCAGGGATATACACGTAAGTTCTTCTTCCTTAGTTCATCCATTTATATGTGTATATGTATATTATATTTGCATGAAGTTTATTTATATGTTTGAACTAAATATTATTTGAAGAGAGAAGGTAACAATACCTTCAACAAAAGCGTACATAAAAATACAAGGTGCTGGGGCAGAAAATACAGTGGTTCAGTGGGGTGATACAGCCAGGTCACAGCCACTTGGAACATATGGTTCAGCAACTTTTGGCGTAGATGCACCATACTTTGTAGCAAAAAATATCACATTCAAGGTAGTGTGCAGTCTAACCTCTTTTGTTTTATGTGCTTTAATTATATGTTACATGTGTCATTTGATGAACGAATAATATATATATATATATATATATATACATACGTGTGTGTATATATAATGTGCAGTCTTACATCTTTGTTTTACGTGCTTTAATTTTGTTCCATGTGTCATTTAATACTCTCTCTCTCTCCATCTTTATATATATATATATATATATATATATATATATATATATATATATATATATATATATATATATATATATATATATATATATATATATATACTCACACACTAAAATATATGTAAATATTTTTAGAAAGTTTTAGAAAGAAAATTAGACTAAAACCTTCAAAAAATAAGTTTTTTCATGATCTTTTCAAGCATCTTATTGAGAAGTTAAATAATCTACTTTAATTTGAACATATAATTATTTAAAATTTTCTTGCTGCTGTAACATGTTATTTAAGAGCATACTAGTTTTATAATAATGATTTAACGATATCATTGCGATTGATAAGAGTTCATTTAAACTTTTAAATAACTTTATAAAAACATACATGTTATGTTTGCCTTTCCATTTATCTCTTAATGGCATAGTTTTCAGCGCGTGGTGATGATAACCGTATTAATTAAAGGACCGTATCTCACTGGTTTAAATATTTATGCAGAATACAGCTCCAATTCCTCCACCAGGAGCTGATGGAATGCAAGGAGTAGCTTTACGAATATCAGGAGACGCATCCGCATTTGCAGGTTGTAAGTTTCTGGGCGCACAAGACACTCTCTACGATCACAGGGGTAGGCATTATTACGAAGATTGCTACATTGAAGGATCTGTGGATTTCATCTTTGGTGATGGTCGTTCCTACTATAAGGTAATTTTTAATTACTATATATAAAACTAACATACTTACTAAAAGTGTTGGATAATGGAGTTTTAGTTCCGGAACAGATTCATCCGGAGCAAGTCTAAGTAGAAATTAGTCGTAAATATACATATGAATTCTCAAGAGCAACATACTGACTACGCGATAATATTATGCATAACTAAAAATATGATAGAGTACCTTACTTTATGGAAAATAATCCTTGAATGTGAATCATAACATACTTTGCAATAAATGTGTTACCATTGTGAAAAATATTTTGAGTGTGCATGCAAAAAACAGCATATATATTAACAATCTACATAAACTAAAATGGATTTATAAGAAATAAACCACACAATCCCCAAGAAAATATAGTTTTCAATAAATGAGCATATACAACGTTTTGTTCAGTTTAATTATTTTATGACCCTTATGCATGTTTTTATTATTCATCCACTTTGGAGACTTACAAATATTACCTTACTTTATGCACGTGTTATCTAAGTGCAAAATGAGACTATATAATTAAATGCCCTTTAGTGTGGCATATAAAATAATTGACTTTATTAATTTTATTTTAAAAAAAAAACTTTGTTATCTAAAAAATTTATTCATCTCAACATACACATGAGATAATCACTTTATGATTGTAAGACCATTAACGGTAATCTTAATATCATAATGGACTTCTTTCGTTAGCAAGCAATATTCTAGAATATCTAGATTTAAAGATTTGGTAATACTCCACTGAAATTTTATTTTTTTGATATTTTTAATATTTTATCTCTTTATATAAAATGCAAATAAAAAAATACTAATGATTCTTATTTATGCAGGGTTGTGAGTTACATGCAATTGCAACAGGAGCAGTGGCAGCTCAAAACAGAAGCGCGAGTTCGGAAAATACAGGTTTCTCCATTGTCAACTGTAGAGTGACGGGCTCAGACATAGTGTACCTAGCGAGAGCATGGGCTCCTTTCTCTACAACCATATTTGCTTATACATACATGGAAAACAATGTCAACCCGGAGGGCTGGTTTGACTGGGGTGATCCATCTAGACAATCGTAAGTCATCCCTATATAAGTGGTTTTATATATCTGAAATTGTTATGAGTGATAATGTTATTTTTTCAATACAAATGGTCTTTAATGGTACAGGACTGTAACCTTTGGGGAGTATCAGTGTAGTGGACCTGGATCAAATACTGCAGGAAGAGTTAAATGGTCAAAAATTCTTACAGATGAAGAGGCTGGACGGTTTACTTCCCTTGACTTTATTGATGCATCTGAATGGCTCGACCTATCATAAATAACAACATGCTTTGACTAGATATTTTTTAGTTATGGATATTTTTTTATAAATGACTAGTTTTTCTTTGTGATTAAACACAGAGATAACTCAATCAAGTAAGCAAATACAATAATGCCAAGCATGGTTTAGGTCCAGTGTTAATGTTGTTAGAGTAAGTGACCAACAAGCCAACTTGTGGCTATGGTCTTTCGTTTATTATTATAATAAATAATATTTTTTCGTATTAACGATGAAATACATTTTGGCATTCTATATCTTTGTCCCTTGCATAAGCATAGACATAGTCCTTACAGTTATTATAATTACTTATATTTGATCTAGTAGGAATATGAGATATTTAGTTAAGTAATATGAGTGTTAAACCATGTTCCTAGTCAAAAGGTTAGGCCACCAATGAGGATATCGGCATTTCCCATTGGAGACTAGCACTTAGTCTATGTGTACTGTGTCTCATCAGTAAACGGTATTGTGATATCGGCATACATAAGTGAGTGCTCATAAGTTGATTATTTCACTGAACTCTCTCATCCTAGATATCTCTAACTGATTCTTAATTATCGAGTACAGGTCTCTATGATATAGTTGTACACCATTAGTCCTTAAAACCCAAACATCACCGTGAGTTCACTAGAATACCAGCTGTATCGTGACCTGTCCCTGAGTTCTACCGAGCCGCCCTAAGGGCCAGTGTTCGTGTAGTCCGAAATCTAGTAGGAGGTATGTGCATTGAAGTCGGGGATTCGATGGCTAGAATAATCTTGGATGTTCTGTGTGTTCTTATAGATAGTAATCATTAAGTCTCTGTCCAGAGCTGACTATGTGATGATTAGGGAATGTGATTCTCTAAGTCATGCACGAACAGATTGCAACACTTAGGACAATCGCACAGTTATTCAAGCATAAAGGAGGTCTCGATGAACCAATGTGTGACACCCCTCTCACGATTACTCTTATTATATGTAATCTCAGCGGAAGACTTTCAGAAAAATGATTATTGTGGATATAAATTTACGTCAAAAATTTTCTTTTAAATCAGAGGGAGAGAGATAATACTTTACTAAACCCTAATCAATTAATTAACACAAATACATACTATGTGCAAGACTAGAAAATAGATAGGTATGTTGGACCTAATAAAAATTCGGACAGATTCAGTGGAGCAACTTCAAAAATTAATTCCTCTTAAAATATTAAGGAAAATTAATTTAAATTATTACCATACATTATACCATGAGTCTACATCACTCATCTCAAGCAGTTTTGAAAGATACTTGATCATTTGGGAGAAATAAATAAAATGGCACATACACTCAATTCATAATCCAGAACAGGGGAGGGAGATTTGAAATTTTCTAATAAATCCTTCACTGACTCAAATACTGTCCAATCTTATACCAAGATATAAAAACGAGTCGAGAATACATTCCAAGTAGAAACAAGACATTTCAGTGAGTAAAACTTCAGTCAAGTGAAAACACTAGACTGATCCAGTATTAGTGCAGTGGTGAGACATAATTCATAACTAATTCATTTCTTATCCAATTCATGCATAAGATCTATCACAGTAATTAGAATTAGAACAGAGAGATCCAATTCATGCATAAGATCCAATTCATGAATTTACGAAGCACAGAAAATATATAAAAATAATTTACAAATATCAAGACAAAACACGGAAAAATTACTAGCCGAAAAGCTTATATTCATAGAGTTGGTAAAATTCGCTTTTGTTTACAAAATATTATGGACTACCGATTAAATATCCAAAAGGATGGTAATCCTAATTATTATTACACATATTGTCTTTTGATGGTAATCCTAATTATTATTACAAATATTGTCTTTTAATAATTCCCACCGATCGAAGGAAGCGATCGATAGTAAATACCTAAAACCGTATCAAATATTTTTACAAGCATATTATACAAATAAAACCACATAGCTAGGCTGAGAGCCAACCCAATCCACATCCCCTCCATGTGATCTCTTCCCCATTCCCAAGCTCGATTCCAACTTCACTCATCGGACTCCAAATCGGGTATACCTACAAACATTCAACACCTATATGAGCCTTTCAGGACTGAATGAGAAACTTGAAGTAATATCGAATATACAAAACATAGAACATACATATATAAATATATTTTTATTATACATATACATACAACATAATTTAAAGCAATCATATACTTACCTTTTTTTTTGTCATAGATCTTCGTTGTTCTTTTTCAAGCGCGTAGAGTGAGATAAATTTCAACTTTTATAACCATATGATCAGAGACCATAGAGTTAGAATATTCCACCTTTATAACCCTATGATCCCAAGACCATAGAGTGAGATATTCCCACTTTTATAACCCTATATCTTCAATATCATAATGGGACATGCATGACATCAAAAATCATCGGGAATCCCTTTGGAAAAATCGAGTCTAAGTTATAAATAACCTCATATTTTACGAGCCCGCCTATCTACGTGGAATCAAACCCCCCCTAAGCACTAGGGTACCGACTCGTCGTACCCCGCTTATTTACCGTAACCTCAAAAGAGTTTCCAACATATGTTTACCTTTTAAAAATCAACACATATCATCCAAACATGCACCCATCTACTTACCCTTTTATCATTCTCACACCCAATGATGAACACGTAAACAATCAAAGTAAGATCACATAACCAATAAAGTTCCATATAGACATTTCTTCACATAATCATTTAGGAATAAAAATAAAATTCATAGACAAATACAAGCAATAACCGAAATCTTAAACATGCAACGGCAATCCATAAACAATCAAAAGTTCATTAATTACAAGAACTTGCAAGAAGAAAGTTCAAAACTTTCATCCTTGCATTTTCTTCAAGCCTTTCCACTAGATCTTCACATGCAAGGGTCTTTTAACACACTTTTAAATCCCTTTATAAATCTGTATTAGAAAGCACTAGACCTTAACAAGCAAGACCTTAAATAAACAATCAAACACTAGATTAACACATGCAAAGCACTAATTAATCCAAATAAGTAACTTATGCATTTTTATCCCATAAAATCGAAACATCACACACAAATAATAATTTATTTTCTACACAAATTCCACATGCATCAATATACATCCATACTTCTATTCTCCTATTTTATTAATTTTCCATTTCCTTAGGTAAAGAAGCAAAAATTCGAAAGTTTCATAATTAAGCCAAAAATTCAATTTCTTTTCACAAATTAACAATCAATCACTAGATAAACACATGCAAGCTACTAATCAGACCAAATAAGCAACTTATGCAATTTTCCCCAAATTTTCGAAAACCATAGAACTTCAAGAACAAGTTTATATTTTTAAAACACTAACATGCAATCATCATATAAGAAATATAACAACATAATATGCAAGAATCAACCTAGAAATTAAATAAAAACTGAAATAATAGTGGTGTTGCATGTTTGAGCTAGAATTCAAAAATTCTCACCTCTACTCTTAAAGGGAAGGATTTGTTAGCTCGTTTCTCTCTAATACAAGAATAGATAGAGGGTTAGATTATAATTTTAAGAAGAGGAAGAATACATCTGAAAGAAGAAGAGCTTAGCACTTTCGAGAAAAAAAAATGAAGAAAAGAAGATAAAGAAGAAACTTACTCCTAAGCTTGGCCGAAAATTTTCCACTTGTTGAAATAGTAGGGGACCTTGAACTTATAGATGGTGGGAGTGGATTTGGAGAGTGCATTTTGATCTTGGACATTGGAGGTAATTATTGAGTTTTTTGAGAGCTCAAAGCCTATGGAGAAGGGAAACACATGTTTTTGTGGGGGTGATTTTGCAATATTTTAGAAGAGGTCTGGTGGTGGTTCTTGGGTGGTTTGAGCTTCAAAAAATGGTGGCTATAGTGGAGGTGGAGCTGCTGAAAAATGAAGGGAGAGAGGAAGAAGCAGAATGACTCTTGGACTTGCTAAAGTTGGAGTGTGGGAGTGGTTAAGTGTGCTCTAGCTAATGATTAGGAGACTAGACTTAGGTATTGTTGTCAATCACCAAAGTACAAGCGTTCTAATGCTTGTCTTCTTCTAATTATTAAATATTATTTTAAATTCTTGTGTTTGTGTATTAATGGCCGAAAATTCAAGAAAATAAGGGAAGGATTTTTTTTTTTCCACTAAATAATAATCCTAAAATGCATGAGAAGTTTTATTTTCTAAAATTTAGTGCATGCATAAATATGACAAAATGCTCATTTAAATTCATCATGCAAGAATAAAATCTTAGTTCATAGAAATTATTTTTTTTACGATTTCGAGAAATATTTATTTCGACATAATATCTCAAAGTATTTCCTAATCATATAATTCATGAATCACACAATTCACATAATCACATAATTCACATAAACACATAATTAACGCAGTTAATAATCATACAAGAATTATTCTAAATTCTAATTTAATAAATTTGCACATAGAGGTGGTAAAATATAATACTAATATATTATCAAAAATGTGGGGTGTTACACAATGCCTCTAGTTCAATGGGGACATATGTATCGAAGGGATCGTACTATACGTTAACTATATCACACGGTTTTTGGAGGCACTTCATTTGTATCTTGATTCGTTGGGCGATTAAGATGAAATGAGCTTCATCTTAATTATAACTCTACGGACGAGTTTAAACCACAAAGGGTTGTGGGCCCACGATCAGCTTACACCTGACCCATCTAGAGACAATAAAGAGTGATGGGTGATTTAAGAAATGTTGGGGGAGCCATGTCACCCCCTAACTCTATGTTGTCCCCACCACTAGCTAAAAATAATAGTCCGTTTGTATCCCATCGGAATAACGTATCCAATGCATTATCCCATTAGAGTTTATAACTATGTTTCAAGGGGGTGAGTGTAATTATCGATACCACATGGACTTTAAAGTTTATCTAAGCATACCTCAGGGGTGTGGGTCTAATTTACACAATACGTTATATTATTATACATTATTTAAATAAAAAAATTTATA